TCATCTGGTCGATCATGAGAGCTTCTGCTGCATCTGTGCGCGAGTCTGCTGGCGTTACCGCCGCTGGTGCTCAAGCTGAGCAAGTTTGTCCGGCACCACTGGTCGCAGATGTCGACCCGAGCGTCCTCGACCAACAACAACAAGTCGAGGCAGTCGACGTTGAGCATCCCGGGCTCAAAAGGCTTCGAGAAGATGCCTCGCTCGCCAGAGGAAGGCGGGTATCCCATGTCCCCGCTCTCGCCTCAGGGCAACGATAAGCGTGTGGACGCTATCACCATCTCGGACGGCTTTGACTCGGGGAGGGATTTGGAATCGTTGAGTATCGACAGGCGATTCTGACATGGTTGTGTGGTGTATTCTGCGTTGCATTCCAAGGATCAAGTAGGCATGGGTGGGTGGCAGCATCTGCGTGGGCATACACAAGCGTTGGTTCGATATTTGGGATTCGGAGTATCCGGTCGGCGAATCCAGGCGCAGGCGGCCCCTTCGTGGGTACAGGCGGGTTTGGCGTTTTGGCAGGCTTATGAGTAGGGCCGACGAGAAAGTAATACTATTCACTGTTCACTACCTTGGGTACCTTGGCTGTTGACGTCTGAGTCTGATGCTTGGTGGTCGTGGAACGGTGCGGATGCTGGTTGTTCGCCCGTTGCAGATTTTAGAGGACCAGCGACGAACGGCGCCGAGTCGGAGAATTGATGTCGTTTGACAGAGTGCCGCTTGTGATTGCCGACGATGATCGAAGGGGCACAGGCAGCTAAGGTTAAGGTAAGAATGAGAGATGCGGGGGGTGGTTGAGATCGAAGCTTTCCAAGGGAATGTATGTTCGCCAGAAGTACCCAAAGCCAGGCCTGTCAGGTACCTACCGTAAGGTAAGGTAAGGTACGAGGCTCTGCCAGGTTGCAGGGCAGGCACCTGGGAGCTCCACCAAATGATGGGGCCATTATGGAACCCGGCCAGAGCAGGGCAGCAGGCGCTCGTACCTATTTTGCTATTGTACCTTAGCACCTTGTGCACATAGTAGGTATCTAGGTGGGCGAGCTACAAAGGAACCTCGGCGCCAACTTGACGAGGCAGCTTCGCTAGGACGCCCCTTGGAATGGACTCATCTGTACCGAGCGCTGTGCTGTGCTGTGTGCTACTACCTTACCCTAAGGTAGCAAGGCCTAGGTACCTCAGGTATCCACCATTGGTCGGTACCTCGGTACCTAGAGGTAGTACCTAGTACCGGTACCTTGAGGAACAGTCAGCCCTGCCAGATGCCTTCTCGGTCCCTCAATAATCCTTCCAGCTCCAGCTCCAGCTCCAGGCTGCAACTCGCTCCGTTCGGGGTTGGTTGCCAAGGCCGGCATTGTGAATGCGCCTCAGCTCCCTTCGCCCCCCCTTCTCCTTGCTTCTCGTCTTCTCGTATGCAGAAACCCTCATGCCACTCTCGTCTTACCTTGCTGTTCGTTGACCGAGGCTTGCTTACCCCTTTCTAGAGATGCTTGCAATTGCACGCAGCATGGCAATGTGAAGACGTTTCTCTTTTCTCTTCGCACACCACCCCCCAAACGATCAGCATCACCACGACTCTCATCCGACAGCTCGCGCCCCTCCTCGCGCGACAGACACGGACAGACGACGCCCCATGTCGCCTCGTCGCCTGCCTTGGACGACCTGAACACCATTCTGATGCAGGGCTCAATGCCTGCCAGCTTCCAACGGAGCCGCGCCATCTTTGCCAGCGATGATTCGTCTTGGAGGCCACGCTCGTTCTACGCCCACCGACGACAGATCCAGCGTGCCCTACCCGTCGCTGCTGCTGCCTTCTGCACGCTACTTCTTCTTATCCTCTTCCGCCTCGGCCTCTTCAGCTCAGACCAGCCACCACCGCTCATCGTCGATCCCACGCCACCCCACGACGATGGCAGCTCTCGATCAACCTTCTACCTCTGGGAGACGGCGAGCTCCTTCAAGCCCGTGACCCTCGATCCCAAGGGCAAATCAGCCAAGGACCTCTGCGCGACCTTTCCGCGCCATATCCTCGACACCATTCAACCTGTTTTGAAGCTCGGACATGCCGACCTCGGAAAGCCGGCGCTCGACGCCCAGATGAAGTCAGTATCGGCTTGCCTCGACAACGTCCTTGTCTTCTCCGACCTCGACGACGAACTGCCCTCGGGCCACTTTGCCCACGATGTCCTCTCCGACCTCCCCGCCTCGTACCGCGACCATGTCGACTTTGGAAACTATACATACATGAGACAGCTGCGCGAGAGCGGCGCTCTCGACGTCGACAAGGAGGCCACGGCCAAGATCAGGGGCTGGAATCTTGACAAGTACAAGTTCCTCCCCATGATCGAGCGCGCGTGGTCCGCACGTCCCAACCACCCCTGGTACGTCTTTTACGAGACCGACACGTACATCTTCTGGGACAACATGTTCCGCCTCCTCGACAACTTTGACCCCGACGCCCCGCTCTACATGGGCAGCCCGAGCCCCGGCCGCGAGGTCGCCGACACGAAGCACCAGGTCTGGTTCGCCAACGGCGGGCCGGGTTTCGTGCTGAGCCGCGAAGCCGTGCGGAGGCTGCTGAAGCGCAAGGTCGGCGCCGACGGAGACTTTCTCGACGCGCCGGCCAGCCACCGCTGGCGGGACCTGCTGGAGCACGACTGCTGCGGCGACAGCGTGCTCGGCTGGGCGCTCTACAAGGCCGGCGTCACGCTGAGCGGCCTCTGGCCGCTGTTCAACCCGCACTCGCTGCATGGCGTGCCCTGAA